TGTAAATCCCGGCCTCGGGCGTGAAGGATTTAGTAGCTGCGAGCTGCTCAAGTTGGGCGTTCTGACCGGAGGTGAAGTAAAACAGTCCCAAAGCTGTGGTCCAAGGCATAATTACTCGTCCTTGCTCCCCCTTTAAAATGTCAGTTCAGAGCTCTTTATTTATTTATTTCTATTGTTTTTTTTTTTTCAGGATGGCTTCAAAAAATGGTGATTGGTGATTATTTTGACATAAAACATGTCAGTTTAAAAATAAAAATTAAAAAGGAAACAGCAGGTTTCAAGAAGCCCATCTATTTCTAAAGGGGAAAAATATTTGTCCTGTACAGTATGTGTTTCCAGGGCTAACTGTGGATCTGCGTTGCTCCACAATGAATTATGGAATTGTTTCTAGGCTGTTGCTGGAATGCTCAGTATATATTATATATTTTAATAGTTGAACCTCAGATCCCACTCCTTGTTACTTGGTTTGTTATAGTTAACTTGCTAGCATTTCAAATACTTCTTTTAATCCACATCTAGACTGAATTTCCTGAAGTTCCCTTCCAGAGCGAGCATCTGTTGGTCCTAGTGTTGCTATTTAGCCATGTGAGTGTGGGCCTGGATTTCTAGTATGAGGAAACAAAGTTTACAGGGAGGAAGATGGGGGAACTTAATTTGAAAATCTACTGAGAGTATAGCATATTCCTCAGAAATACTATCTTTATTATAGCCATTTGAATTAGCCCATGCTAGCTGACCTCCTCTCAGTGTTTTGCTAGTTTGCTCTATAAACCTTAGTTTTTCTTTCTTCGGATGCACAGCTGTGTTATGGGATTCTTAAATATCATAGTTGCAGCTGTTTCTGCTAACAGGTGCAAGAAAACAATTGGGAATGCAGGCAGAATTTTGCTGTAGTTAACAGGCGGTTCAATCCTTCAGTCATTTTTCCACCTCTTTGGAGATGTGCCAGCCCTTTTCCCAGCAGAGGCACCTTGCCAAGACTTGGAGCCCCCCATAACATGCATTATTCATTCACGGGGGGGCTTTCTCCTTTGCAGTGTTTAAATCAGCTTAAGCTATGGATGTTAAAACTTTATTTTTTTTTTTTACTATTAATTTCAGTTTAAAAGGTAACCTGAAAGGAAGATGCAGTTGTTAGCAAATGCAAAAGGTGGAGGAGTGCTTTTTTCCCCTTCCCCTTTAGATTTGCTCATGAAATGTATGTTTCCCATGTCATCCTGACATTTGGATTACTTTTTTTCTGCTGCATAGTTACTGGACAATAAACATCTCAAGGAAGGGGTTAAAAGCAAGTGGTGACACAAGCAAATACTAAAAAAAAAAAAAAAAAAAAAGCAAGCGCAGCACATAATGATTATTTAGCAATAGCTACTGTGTAACATTTAACTAGGAAACCTGAGCTGACACTAACAGTCTCTCTGGCAGTGTAGTCTGCTCACCATTTAGTAGTTGAGTAATCTGTGAACTACTGTAAGAATTTCATTTGTGGTTCAATATGTTCTAATGGAAATACAGATGACAATAGTCCCTCAGCTTTAGCATTTGTAATGTGAACGGCTATCATAGTGTAACTCCTAATGTTCAGAGTTAATGAGTCAGTTCTCTTCCAGACACAGGTTATCTGCAAATCACTCAATTTTTGAAAAGGAGAATAACTGAGAAGAGTTTTTACTTACCTTCTCATTTCTGAGCCTGCAGATTACAGCTGAAAAGTGCCCTCAATATTTATTCCCTGCACATGATGACTGCACTTAGTGGGGAAGAAAACAGATTTCTTAATATTGGCTTGATCAGACTGACCCTCCAATTGTGAAAAGCATTTTTATTTTGAATCAGAATACTGAGGATGGTGTTGTGTTCTGTTCTGCCTCATCCTCTCTGACAGTTTTGCTTCTTTTAGACTGTTTGCTCATGCTGGTGTACAAGGATAAATCTGAACGAGCGAAAGGGCATAAGGAGAGGAGCAGCATGACCTTAGAAGACATCTGTGGCTTGGATCCTGGGCTCTCTTATGAGGGCTTGAGTCATACGCTTGCAATCATCTGTCTCTCTCAAGTTGTGATGCTTGGATTTGAGAACAAGGAAACAATGTATGCGTGGGATGTACGAATCCGCTACAGTTTGGGAGAAGGTAACCTTTGCCTTGTCATAGTCCTTTTTTTTTTTTTTTCCTTGTGAAGAAAGCAAAGAAAAGCAGAGCTAAAATGCAAATAACAAAGTAGAGTTAAGGAAAAGACTGTCACTCATTTGATGATGAAGAGTCTGTTCTTTCCTTTGCATCTCAAAGCAGGTATCTCTTAAGATAATTTTGAGCATTACTGCTCAGTACTGATGGCTAACTGTGGGAACTTTCAACTTAACTTTTGATTTGGGTAGTGAAAGCTTTTAGTGGTCCAAGTGCCTACAATTTACTTGTGTTTTTGATGACAGGATTTAGAAGGAGCCTGATTTAAGAAAAGTGGTCTAAAATGATCTAAATAGAATTTGGCTGGTCTGATGCCAGTTTTATGAACATCCTACTAACCTAGAAGATATTCTCTCTGGTTAAAGACACTAGCAGTGACATATTTTCAGGATGGAACATCTTATAATAGAGAGTTATTGGACACAGTTTTCTCACATAGCTTCACTCATGCATTTTTTCCCCTTCTCTGATCAGCAGCTCTAAAATATGCAGTTGTGAATAAAGAATGGTAAACAGTTACTCTAGATTAACTGTTCTTTAGGTTTATTTGGTGCTGACTAGGGGAAGAGGATGGATGTGTGAGATGCACATTCTGTCTTCAGCCATCACTTGCTGCAACATATGGCAAGGGATCTATAACAATACAATTGTTCCATGGCAGTGTGAACATAGGTGAGAAGGGTGGCCTTTGAATTTTGCACAAATGTGCTATAGCTGCTGAGCTCATATCTAGGTAGCAGTATCAGAATAGAGACATATGGATGTACAGTTTGGATCTGTCCAATACAAACTGTCATGCAAGCAGAATGGCTAGAGTGGGTCCCTGACCAGTACAGGTGCATATATCTGGATTATATGGTGCACTTAGAAAGAAGACAATATAGCTACATTTTCAATTAGTTTGTTAAATTCAGGGTCTCTGTACAGTATAAATTTATACTAAAAGAGCTGGAGCAGAATGTGCAGTTGATAGAATAGGTCTTTTTTTGTGATCTTGCACTGGTGCAGTCTAGGCATAGAGTATTTGCTTTAAATGTGCATGCAAGGGTGATGGAGGTTATTAGTGATGGTGAAGCAGAGGAAGGAGAGTTATTAAATAAAGCTTTGGGTGAGGTAATGATAGAGTTTGGCCTATTGGATGAAGGTGTAGTTCCAGATGCAGCATTGGAGTAGAGACAGAGGGTGAGAGTTTGTGTGGAGGTGAAGGCTCACACAGTTATGTTCTTTGCCCTGGGACTAAGGTGGATGAGTGCTGAAAATAGGCTCTGGAGAGACGACCACAGAGTTTGAGAAGTGAAACTAAAAAGGCCTTGGGAAAGAGGATCTAGACAGGAAAGGGAAAAAGTTTCTCCTGAATGTTGACTGTGAATGTCTGACCAGGCAGGGGAGATGGAGAAGACAATGCTGTATGTGCCAGTGAATTGGAGGTTATAAGCCTGGAATGCTACTGTGGAATGAAGTTGATGCTGTGCTTGAGCAGGGGTCACAGAAGTGAGCGAGGTACAAGTCAGGTGTGAGAGAGTGCTTGAGCCCACAGCTGATACTGAGAAAGTTGGGGGACAGTGCAGTGAATAGCTCTGAAGAGTAAAAGGTTAGCTAGAGCAAATGAGGAGCTTCTTAGTACTTTTTCCTCATGCATCCTTTCAGCTAGGAGGCTATTTGTAAGTTGGTGTTTGGTTTTATTTATTTTCTTTCTCTGCTTTGGGGTTGATCAAATTTGGGCCTTCTGTTTCACTGTGGTGCCTAGAATCTGAGCTGCAGTTCTTTGCTTTTGGCAGATGCTGTAGGTTGCAGCAAGCTGTGTCAGTGTGTCCCATTCCTCATTTATGTGAGGCAGAAAAAATCCCAGTGCTTCTGTTCCTATAACTTTATTACTAGCAAAGTAACTCTGAAGTTAACTGTGTAGATGTGCCATTTATTTGGGTGGTTTTGACACCTTTTTCATAGTTTATAGGTAGACAGCTTGTGTTGCATAGTTGATACCCAGAAGAGGACATTAGGTGACTCTTGACTGCTCTCTAGCAGTACTAGGGGCAAAACTGTAAGTAGAGCTGTGGTTAGATCTATCTCGGGCTCCTTAAACATTTCTCTTGAATGACTTTGTGGCTAATTCTGCTGGAGCCGCAGGGAACTTACCAAATGCACGTCATAGATGAGAAGTTAACTAACTGCTACTTGGTAACTAAGAATAGAGATAGTATTTAAATGAGAAGCCTACTTGAGATTCATGATGCTTGAAGGAACAAGAGAGAGGCAGAGGGGCTGTAAGAAATGATGTTACTTGAAGGTTACCCTTTAGATTTTGTAGATAAGAAGCTGTTTGTAAGATCTTTAATGGATAATCAGAAAACTAGATCTATGCACTTGATTAATGCCCCACTGAAAACCTTTGACTGGAAATGTATCAGTCCAGACGCTTTCCCAGGTCAACATGGACTTTTTGTCTAACCATAAAGCAAAACCTTAGAGAAGGAGTAATAGAGGTCAGGATAGTATTTTTTGAAGTTTAGGGGCCTGCTCACTTAAATTGTTCTCTTGAAATGCTTGGAAGATTGAGCCTTTGAAGTGTTTCATGCAGCAGCCCTGGAGGAGGACCTGGGAGGCCAGCCTAGAACAGCCCATGTTCTAGGTAAGAATACTTGCAATATAGGAGATAGGAGAGTTAGGATATGAAGCTGAATCTTGTAAACTGGAATGAGAAAGATGTTTTTTACTCTCGCTCTTCTGAAGTTTGGATTGTGAAATATGAAGAGTTAATAAACATTCTTAAACGTCAGTTACCTATGAATCATTTAATTTCCCAGTCATTTTAAATGTCTGGGCATCTATAGTCACCAGCTCCCCAAAGATTCACAAAGGTAGGAAAACATAATTTTCCCCAGTTTTACTGCTGGAGAAGACAATGTGTGGAAAGGAGTGAAGCAATTTATTAAAGGTTGCAAATGAGTCAGTGACAGAGCACTGGTTAGAGCTTGCCTGTTTCTTTCAGCTTTGCCTTTTGGGCTCCTTGGACGCTGTTAAAGGTTCATGGATGTAAGAAGAAAGACATAGGCTGTTGGAAGGAAGAAACAGAATCACTTGTAGTGATGGAAGGGTAGGAGAAGGATATGACTTAAGCGTGGGCTGGATAACTGGCTATTTTGAAATAGGTGTAGCCTGGAAGGCTTCGGATAAGTAGCATCTCATCAGTTTAGCATTACGATGGGATGAGACGCTGTTAAAGGTTCATGGATGTAAACAGAAAGTAATAAGCTTATAGTTATTGACAGACTTGTCTGGGCTTCACCTAAAATCTTGATGTTAGAGCCTAGTAGTGCAGACACAGACCATGGTTGAAAAAAATGATTTTTGCTACAGAAGTCACTGTACATTACTTCTGTTTTCTATAGTAACTTTTTTTTTTCCTTCCTTGTTTAATAGTTCATAGATTTCAAGTTTTCGTAGCACCTGGCACTAAACTAGAGAGTGGGCCTGCTACGCTGCATTTCTGCAACGACATTTTCGTCCTCGTAAAAGACCTTCCTCCCAGTGTCATGGGGCAGTGGAAGCTCTCGGATCTGCGTCGATACGGAGCTGTCCCAAATGGATTCATCTTTGAAGGGGGTACCAGGTGTGGCTTCTGTAAGTACAATTGGAAACTATCTCCTAAAAGTTATTTTAAACCTTTTGTAGAAATGTAAGTACTAGTTTTGTCAATATTGAGCTGTGAGAAACAACTGTGTAGCTTTCAGTCTTTGTATAAGCAGCCTTGAGATATCGGCGAGTGGCTCTCCAGAAGCTGTTGATCAACTGCTGCTATGGGACACCAAACAAGAAAAAGATGATGAAATGTTAGGGACTGGTTTGTAGGATAGAATAGTTGATGGTGTGATTGGTTTGATTGGTTTTGCTACTTACCTAATGTTTTTTGAATTATGCCCACTAAAGTTTTGGTCTCAGAAGCAGAGTTTAGAGTCATTCCAGGCTGATGATCTGTGATTGCAAATGGATATTATTTCTCCAATTCTCCATTTTTTCACAGTGAAGTGTGAAAACACTTGACTTTTTTTTTTTTTTTCCCCACCCCCCCCTCCTTCTCTTGCCAAACTAAAAAGTTGTTGCAAATCCAAAGATTTCCCCCTTCTTCCTAAATTTTGCCAGAAGTCCTGAGGAATAAATTATCTTGACTGATTTCCTGTAGTGAGATCTCTTACTTGTTTTGCCTATTGAAAAGAACAGAGGTGAGTTATAAAGATGGCAAGCATTGACTGTACTCTGTTTTACCCTAAAAGTTTCCAATTTAGGATGCTTATGTATTATGTGAAATTTTCTGGTTCAAATTCTTCTGCGACTAGTTTGGAGATTGTGGCTGAAGTGTTGTCTGCCGCCACTGAAGAAATGAATTATAGATGTAGCCTGGGAGGAGACAAAGCTATTTTCTTTTAAGGTTATTCTGCTTCACTGAAATGTTAAACTGTGTAGGAACTGGAACCCCCAGTGTTTTGTTTCCTGGTGTTGTATTTAGACCTTGAGCTAACTAAATGGTTATAAAGTTTAAGGGGAAGTCAGCAGCATCAATCCTCTCAGTTGGCCCTGGTTAAATTTCTGTAGATCCATGAACACTTGTAAGATGGATTTGAGCAATTTATTTTCTATGCAGCATAAAGCAGTCTTTCATTTCTGCCTCTGTGGGCAAACACCCCTTTAAATGCAAACTAGAATTCTGTGAGTGTATTGCTGTGCAAATGTAATTTGGATCCAAAATATTCCCTAGAAAATGTACATTTTGAATAAAAACCTCCACAAAGTCCTCCATTCCCTGTAAGCATTCTTGAGTTGAATGTGTGTGTTTTGGGAGGAAAAAAAAAAAAAAGGCTGCTGCTGTTGCTGGACTTTGTATAGTGCATCATTTTCTGAGCTAATGAAATCTTAAGTTATTTAAATATTTAGAATTTGTATTAAAAAATGTAGAGAACTGAAGTAGAAGTGCTAGCAGCCTTAAGTAAGTTTGGCAATGTTTAGGTAGATTGATAACTGTTTTAATCTGTGTAAACATGCAATTCATCAAATGAGAGAGTATAAAATTTAACTATTTGTGCGATTAGTTGTACTGAGGCTATTTAGGGACAACTAATGTGTTGGGTAAAAAGTACAAGAGCCTTGTGATATTTTGGCATCAAGTTTCTCCTATTACTCTTCAAAAAGTTGTTTCCAGAGAAGAGTTTATCTCTTACCATTAAGGGCTTTAAATAATGACTTGCATTTGGAGTACATAGCTTATTGCAAATGATGCCTGTGGATCACAATCATTTATTTTATGCAGACTTTCATTAGAGTGTGGAAGGAGACAATGTATTCTGAGCGATATCCAAAAATGAAAATGACTAGCAGAAAATAATGATAGCTGTTAGGATTTTTCCCCTGAAAAGGGAACAATTGGGTCTCTTTTGTGCTTTTTCCAAAGGGACTGCTCAGCACTGGCTAACAAAGCGTTTGCAACGCTGACTGCATTTCTTATGCGTGTTACCCTTTCTGAGAGGGATGCTATGATAGGATATACAGAGAAGAGATTTAGGACGACTTAGTGTGCATGTTTTTATGTTAAGGAGATGAATGGTTATGATTCCATTTTCAGCTTTCCTTCTTGAAAGGATAAAAGTAAGGAGTAGTTGTAGATCAAAATGAAATTCACTGACTTGTTTATCTTCTCCTTCGTGTAGAAAGATCTTTCCTCAGTGGCTGCTTCAACCAAGGCATTTGGAAAATGCAGGGTTCACCACTGGAGATCAGTACTTGGCAGGCCCATTTGTGGTGATTATCGTATAACTAACTAGGAATTTTTTCCTGTGGTGTTTACTGTTGTAGTTAAACCACCTTGATGTGTAACATGGCTGCAGAGAGATACCTAGAGTAAGACTGGCTTACCAAGCCTGGTGCTGCTGGGAAGGTTGGATAAGTAAAGAAGTCTCTAGTATTTAGTGCATTTTTTTCCTCCACCAGAAACATTCCTCAAGGAAGTAGACACCACTGATATTTAATTTATAACCACTGTAGCTTTTAGCTCTGTGAATCAGCAGAGAAGAGGGTCTGTAGGAGATAAGAGGCAGCAAACTTAGAGCAAATGTCCTCCCCGCTGGATTCTGGTCTTCCTCAAGGTGCCTCCTGGTAGTTTCCTAGGAAGAACTTCCTACAGAGCCTTGCTTTGAGCCGTGCACAGTATGTTCCTTAGCTGTATGGCTTACCCAAACCTCTTGTTTCCTTGTTCTGTACTTGCTGTCTGAAAATTGTCTGTATCCAGAAATCTGAGTATCACTGAGGCCACTTCAAATCTGACTTTTGAGTATTCATCACCAAGGCACTTAGACATGAAAGTAGAGAGCAAAGGTAGATTTCTGTAAGATCTAGCTAGCATACTTAGTCCTGAGTTCAAGCAAACCTGCCATCTATTCCTTTCCTCATCTTTTCCTGTCCTTTGATTTTAAGATGAAATGGATCTATGTTGCTGACTGTGTACTGTTTATTTGTGATTGGCAAATGTCACACTACAGTTCTATGGATTGCTCGTGCTCTTATTAATGATGGATATTTTCTTGAATAAAATCAAATTGGTAATATGGATTGTTTTTATTTGATATCAAAAATGTTCAATGGCCTGTGTGTGAGTATGGACTACCTCAGCTTGTGCAGTTTGAGTACTGTGTTTAAGGAATAACATTTTCAGTTCTCTTGTTTTTATTGTGTTTGGGTAGTGAATGCTAGCATATATTGTGACATTATTAATATATTAGGAGCTCTCATTTACTGTTAATTGATCTGAAAGAATTGTTTTTTAGTACACAGAATATTGCCAACTCACACTGTTGAATGGATTTTGAAAGCTAGAAAGTAAATCAACAAAAATATTGATCTAAAACAACTTTTTTTTTTCCTGTTAGCTTTTGCATAGTCGTGTAGTAATACAAAAAACATGGTAGTTTGTTTTCAAAGGTTAGTGTTGCTTCAGTAGAGAATTTGCTATAGCAGTTCCTTTGTGTTATAACAATATTGATCAGTACTATTTGTTATGCAGCTTTGTAGAATACTACTTACTAAGCTTCTATTGTACAGTAAGCAGCTAATTGTTTTAGAATGAGATCAGAGAGGAACTTGCGGTTTGGATGTTGCAATCTGAAAATCACTGAATTGGTGAGGTTGGAAGGGAGACTGTCAAATCCAACTCCGCTGCTCAGGCAGTGTCAACTTCAACAGCTTGCCCAGGGCTTGAATATTTCCAGGAATAGGGACACCACAGGCTTTCTCTGCAACCTGTTCCAGGTTTAATGAAATTTCTTGTATTTCAATTTGTGTCTGCTGCCTCGTGTCCTGTTACTGGACTAAAAAGAATCCATCTCCTTTGCCTGCTCCCGTCAGGTATTCATATACATTGATTTGATTCCCTCCTGTGCCTTCCTCTTTCCATGCTGAACAAGCCCAGCTGCTCCAAGTCCTTGATGAACTTAGTGGCCCTTTGCTGAACTCACTGCAGTTACATCCGCATCTCTGTTGTTCTGTGGAGGTCAGTCATGGGCACAGCACTTAGTGTGCTCTGTTAGAGAGGTGTGTGATGGGGCCATCATCTTCAGCTTCAAGTGTTTGGGTCCCTTGTGCGGAGGAGTGATTGGTGCCTAGAGAAACGACAGCTCAGCGGCAGTGGAAGGACTGGAATTTGTCTTGTTGTGTAACCAGGAATACAGATGTCACTGGGATTAGAGAAAGATGGAGTGCAACTCTGTAGCCTTGTGATTAGGGGCCCAGCTCTGGGTACAGACCCTAGGTTCTGGGCACTGCTCGCAAGATTAATTGCTTTGCTATGTAAGAAGATTTGGAAATAATAGGAAATATAAACAGCTTCATTTATGCTCCTTACTTGTAACTTGTTCTGGATTTGAGCATATTAAGTGCTGCTCTATCCTATCTCCATGTTGCAGAAAATTTAGATGATTCATTTCACAGATCAGGGTGCCAACTGGCCCTGAAATGTTGTGGTATAAAATGTGGATGGATAATACAAATGACATAATGGAGCATGAAACACCATAACTATTTACATTATACAAAAATTCAGATATTTTTAGAACCTTACTTCTGGAGTTTTGGTTTACCTGGTGGATGTCATGCCCGATTCTCACACTGAGAAGAACCGATGATGTGGTGTAGATTACTTTTCCTTGCCGTTCCCCTCCATTCAAAGAAAAAAAACCCCAGAAACCCCAGATAAGAGCAGAGTTCAGTTGTGGATATTGCTTTCGTAGGGCTGAGTTTTTTTTTTTTTGTTGTTGTTCCTTTGTTTTAATAAAAACAAAGGATTGGAATCTTTCTTACCCTTCTGTTCCTTGCTTTCTCACAGAATTTTTCATAAATATGAAGTGTACAATTAAGGTTTTGAATTAGGTGCTCAGTGAATGGTTTCTTTTTTTGTTTTGTTTTCCCAACTCTTTGGTGCACTATATGATCAGAGGGAAAACATATGAGATAATGCTGATATTTCAAACATTAAATCTAGGTGCATTTTCAAGTTAGATAACACCAGATGATATTTAAATAGAGAAAAACATTTACAATTTGCATTTCTCTAGCTCTTGATATCACAATTACTGCATTGTACTGTGAGAGATTAGATAATCCATTCTTCTGTTCATGGCAGCTGCAGATAAGTTCATCTCTGGGGCAAGATTCTTCTCTCCCCCTCCCATGCCCCTGGTTTCTCTGTAGTGGGAGCTCCATAACGCATGTACCATTTGCCAAAAGAAATGTGGGGCAATTGGAAGATTTGCTTAGTGGAACAGACTGGAGAGGAAAATAATAAATAAATTAAAAAAAAAAAACAGCCTTTTGTTTTCCTAGTTGCAGAGCCTAGTTTGAAATCAATGCGTATTTTTTTGCAACTTGCAGTGCCCCTGGCTGCTCTGCTTCAAAGAGTTAGTGATACTGCTGCAGTTGGCTGCAGGACGAGCAGAGTTATTTCTGTGTTCATTTTGATATTTTGGTAAAATGGCTTTCCTTCACTGTGAAGACTTCTGCAACTGGCTCTTAAAAATTGTTCTGAAATAGTAGAAGCAGCTGTGGACATGCTGGAAAGGTCAAAGAAGATCCATATTAATAAATGGAATTTTTAATGAGAATTTTTCTGAACGTTAAAAGCAGCAGAGATGGTTGACCTGGAGTAGTATCTAAAATTTTGTGATAGTGGCGTGAATGAAAGCTTCTGTGTTAATGTGCAGATGTTATTCTGTTGTTGTCTCCTATAAGCCTATTGCAGACTAAACTATTTTTATTCAGCTGCTTTGTTTTCAATAGCCATACTCATGCCGTATTGGGTAGTAATGGGAATCTGGAATAGCATTTTCAGCAGAGAGAGCAAGGGCTAACTGAGCTGAGTATCCCGAGACATTTTCTAAAGCTGGTCCGAGGAACAGCATGGCCATTGCCATGTACTGAGCTGCCGTGGCTGGTACCTGCCATGAAGCCAAGGGAATTTGGGCTCTGATGTTGTCTGCCAAGTGCTGCTAGGAGTAATAATTCATGGTGAATAATGGGCTCTTCCTCCCTTGGTTTCACAGAAGGCAGTAAGATGTAAGTAATTTTCTGGGACTGTGCGTTTTCCTGATGTGATTGTGCAGAGATTAGCTTTTTTTAGTGTGATGAATTCAAGTCAAACATTAAGGTTTAATCATATTTGGAAGTTTGGGGAAATTGGCAACTTCTTTACCATCTGGGGAACCATACACTGCTTTACTGCTAAATGCCACTGAGGACTGGCTTAGTGTCTTGGCCTTGTGCAAGCGGGTGCAGGCTGCTTTTCAGTAAGTCTCTTGCCCTGTGGAGAGAGAATGAGCAAGGTCTTTGCTCCAGTAAACAGCTGCATGGTATTACAGAGATGCATACCACATATTCCTCAGCTTCCAAATGCTTGTGCACCGAATCTGTTCCAGCACATGACTGAGATGCATGATTTCTAGTAGAGGATTTCTCAGCTACATTTTTTCATGCCGTTAACATAAAAACAGTATTTTTTTTAATGTGTTTAAAACATACCTCAGCTAAACACCAGCTATTCATTCATCTCTTCAGATGTGCTTTGCAAGGACTGTCTGACTCTTTTCAATATAGTTCTGTCTAGCAAAACAAGAAAGAAAATATTTCCTGTGAGAGTTGATTAGATACTATGGTGATTATGTTAATAACAGACTCTCCAAAGAAACATTTTATACACATGCACTAGGTTAGTGCCTACATGTAGATGCACACATATTATTTGCACTAGGTATATAAAGACCACCATGCTTGTTTTGGGGATTTCCAAATGCATGGTTCTTGCAGAAATAGTTCTTTGTAGAACTCCTTCTAGGGATGATTTCATCCAGGCAATACCTAGATTTTGAATCATTCCTCAATATATCGTTTTCACTCAGCTTCTTCAACGGCAGGGTTCTCTGACTCTTGGTCTTTAGGGAGGCAAAATGAGGACAAGATGTGTCACAACCCAAACCTCTAATAATGTACTAGTATCTGTTAGGCTGCATGATTGTTATTAATAATACAGTTATTGTCATCTCCTGAGTGGTCTCTAATAATAATGCCAATGTGCACACATATGTGCAATGAGAAAATATGGGATAAACTCGCTTTAAAAAAAGTAAATAGAAAAAATGGCATCACAGAAGTGCAAAGGGAAACGGGCTTAGCTCTGGGTTACTTTTCCTCTACTTGTGTGTGTGGAGGAGACTATTGAATTGTTTGAACATAGTGGTAATATTTGTGCATCCTGAGTCTGGAGTAACATGTTTGGGACCTTGTAACCTAGAAATGGTTGGCAAGCTAACCTTTAAGTATAGATGTAACTTATACCAACAAGTCAGTTCTGATGTCAGTAGAGCTTATAGCAGCTCTCCAGAAGAAATAAACTGTACCAGAAGCAGAGTTTTTCTTTCTTTGACTAGAGAAGGACTGACTTTGAAGTGGAAAAAAGGTGGTGGAACAAGAAACGAAATTATGAAGATGCTGTTAACAGCATTGTGTTGAGTGGATATAAGTAGAGCACAGGCAGAGACTTAAGACGTGCCATTAATTGAGAATGACATAAGTCGGGGTCAAAACATGTTCTCCCTGGATGGTTAACTTACTGCTTGCGAGCTGGATCTAATTTACTGAAATAGTTCATTTGGTTTTGGGTCTGCTCCTTGCTATTGCCTTTCTCTGAATGCCATATTCCCTCATCAGGCAATCAAACGCATATTCCTTGCTTAAGTGAAATGGTATCCCAATTGGTGTGACTGAATGCGTGTCTGGAATGTGATGGGAGATGCAAGTGCTTTGGTCAAGTTCAGCCCTAGTGCTTTAGGTAAAAATGTCAGGGATATGCAGGTAACTCAAAAGAGACTAGAGAGACATGTACAGGTCAAGTCCTTAAGAAAGTAATGTGCAAAATTTTACATCCTGTACTAAGATTGGGTTTTCTAGTATATGTGGCTCTGGTGAACTGGCAGCACTTCTTAAAAGTGTACATGTCTGTTCAATTTCTCTCATTTATTATTTCCTGAAGTTGCTTCTTATTGAGGTGGCCTGGGGCAGACTTTCGCCTGACAACTTAAGGTCATCAAAATACCAACTATACCTTTTCCTGATGGGAGATGCATTGGGACAGCTAACTTTCAAATAAAATGTTGTGTGGAGCATTTCTGGTCTTGTGTGTTGTCCATGTAGCCATGCAGCTCAGAGCTTGTTTGTTTGTTTAATGATTCTCATTCTAATTTGGTTAGGGCTATTCTTAATGAATGGAAAACAAAATATCAGAACAGAGCAAAGGGTAAAGATCTGATGACAACATTGCAGAGTCGTGTTACGTTCTGTTAATAGTAGGCATATAGGAGCTGTCTTGGTAAGTAGAAATATGGGTGAAATGGCTGCTAGTTTATAATGGAATTCAGCGATATAACACAGACCTGATCTGCTGTTACATAAAAGGCTGTTTTATGTTAAAATTGGATAGAACTGGAATTAATCTGGTTCATATTGGTGAATATACTTTCAGAATCCCTAAAACTTGCATAGCTGAAACTTGATCTACAAAGTTTCAGGTGTAGCTGAAAGAATAAAATAATAAAGAAGACCCAGAATAAAAGACCCAGACAACTGTTAGGCACATGGCTTGTATTTTGACATTCCTCTAATTGCCTGGGTGTCAGAGAATTAATGTAAATCATGAGGTAGCTATTGAATTTGTATGTTTTTTGATGATGTAACATGTGCTCACCTGACACTATTCTTCTTTTCTCTGTAGAACTTGTTGATTTCTGTTCATGACTTGCAATTAACCCTCTTTGGATGAGCATATTTATAATTAACTTCAGCTAAATAAATTTCTCATGCAATTAAAAGAAAAAGCAAACACTTCTATGCTGTGCTTTCTTGCAGGGGCTGGTGTCTTTTTCCTTTCTTGCGCTGAAGGAGAGCAGATCAGCTTTCTGTTCGACTGCATCGTCCGTGGCATCTCCCCGACGAAAGGCCCTTTTGGTCTGCGGCCAGTCTTACCAGGTTAATATAGGAAGTATAGAGTAACCATGTAAAGCAGCAACTTGCCATGTCTAGCACTTATTGCTCTGACTGTCGTAAGTTTGCAGACTCCAAGGGCATTGAAAGTACAAAGTGTTTTTCATTCTGAAATGTCACAGTATAAATTTACCACTTGAATGTACCCGGTTTCTGCTGTTGCTCTGGCTCATTCGTTTGTTCTGATGATAATGCTAACCTAGCCTTCTCTTATTTAACAATGCTAAAATAAAATAATTTGAATTGAGATGAACTCTAACATTTAGTCTTAAACTTGAGTCAATTTGGATCCATGTTATTATTTTGATAGTGTAAAGAGCTGAGACCAGGAAAACTAACTTCTGGGGCATTTTGAGTTCATTTCAAAGTCCTGTCAACCTTGGGGCTCTGGATTACATTACAGTTCTGCAGCTTGAGCTTTTCTTTCTGGTGTGTGAGAATTAAATTCCTTTTCCTATTTCGTGGTAAATGCTGAATGCACTGCAATGTTGAGAGAGCAAATTAGATGGAATCATAGTAAGCCCTGTTGCTTTTTGACTTTAGCAGATGACGAAGTACAATGTGGAGTTGGAATGACTGTGGCAAATAGGAGAAGAGTGTGAAAAATGAGATCACAGAAAAATATCTGTGGAAGTGTCTGTGTGAAGGGAATAGGCTGTAAGAATGGTGAAGGATGAGACAGCATTTGTAGAAAATGTTAAGAGTTTCTTTTTGAGTTTTCGGCAAATGATAAGAATTTGACATAACTTTATTGCTGTAACAAGCCTGAAGATAATCACTTGTGGGAAGGAAATGTGAAGAAAAAGATTAGAGTGTAAAATCTGTGGAAATTAATTCAAGTTAGTTAAATTAAGACAAATGCAGTACATACCAGGCTCAGTTTCTTTTCTTTTCCATAGTTGAAATGTCAAAATGAGTAAAATAATCACAATACATAATTGGCAATAAGACCTCATTCTTCGAGGTGTTCGAGGTGTGTGTTCAATGTGGAGTGTTTGAAAAAGGAAAAAAAAATCAATATTGATACTTTGACACTTATAACTTTGCTACGAAGGCATATTTTTCTACATTTCTAGAATTGCATTATGCATATACAATCCTAAATCTTTCATTTAGCAAAAATGCGTATCTAGAACATGCTCCCAAATTACCAACTAAGGTGTTCTGTATTACTAATGTATATTATTCTCTTATCTTTCTGAAATAATTACTTTTTTTTTCTTATGTCATATTCTCTCAGACACTTTTTTATTTTTAGGAAAGTTTAGAAGTAAATCTGCTTTTTCATCTTACAGTTATCAGTTCAGCCGTTGTGTCCTTGTGTTTGTGTATTACTCTATATATTCACATACCATTCCCTTCCTTTCTTCAAGATGTCTGTCTCTGAGTGCATGAAGCAGTTGGAGGAATATCCAGGGATGGATGATTGGTCGTGAGGGAAATCCCATTTTCTTGGATCTGACGTCTTTGTCTCATCTGCTTCATGGACCTCCCACTAAAATGAGATGAAGATCCACTTAGCCACTAGATGTTATTTTGTTTCCATGTCCAGGAGCAGTAGCATCCATTCTGTGTTCAGTAGAGAAATGTGCTGTGGTTTTTGCAGGCTTTCTGTGTCTCTACCTTTGTGCTTCCCAGTCCTGTCACCCCTTGTATACCTGCCCCTTCACACAGTCCTTATTTTTTAGGTTCTCCCCAGATGTTCATTTATTGTCCCATTCAGGATCTTGCACAGACTTGTTTAATGCACATCGACATGTTCTGTGCTGGTGATTCATCCATAGACTAATCTTTGGTATTAACTGTGCCATTACACAGAGTGTACTGTACTACTGAAAAGCTCAAGTCTCTACCAGCTGCATGCTGCATCTGACGAGTACCGAAATTCACCCAATCTCTTGAAAGTGATATGTTAACTAGGTTAATCATCTCTACACCCTAGCTAAGTAAATCAAACCATGTTGTGGGTTCTACCTAGAAACACACAGCCAATGTTACTGGTATTTACTGCAGTGTAGAGTGCTACACAACCTTAACTGTGATTTGTGTATGCAATTAAGCCAGGAACTCCTTATGTACAAACAGCTCACTTCATACTAAATGGACCACTGAAATATTTAAATATGAGCATGGAATTTATAGAAATTGATAAGAGACAGAATTGAAGAGAAGGACTGAAAAATGACAAGTTTTTTACTTTCCATAGTGCCATTTTAAACACGTATAAAATGCTCAGTGTCCAAAGGATCTTGTAAACTGCATGTGCAAGGGTAACTTGTTGAAGTACAATATTCCCATCTGTACTTCAGGAATATAGTTAAAAAAAAATATAACTTATCTCTTTGAAAGCTTGGTGTTCTTTTAATGTAAATGTGTTTGTTCATTTCCTGCATTTTATTGTGTCATCTGCAAAAAATATATAATGAAAATAATGAAAAGTGGAACATTTATACAGACTGACCATTGCAAAATACCAAAATCTGTTCTGATCTCATAGCTGACCTCACTTGGAGTGGGAGGTCCCTTGAGGTCTCTTCCAGCCTGAATTCTTCTGTGATTCTATGGAAGATGCCATCATATAAACATGAATATTCTCTCAAATAAAATAATCCTTTATGTGTACGTCCAAAATGAAATGTAAAAGGAACAGAAGGTTAGAAGGTAGTTACACTAACCTAAGCACTGTGCAGTGCTTATTTTTTGGAACTCTTTAAGGATGGAAAGCTCTGCCAAAATGCTCCTTTTGGTAACACAATTGGCAAATTGGAAGCTTTGATTTATTAAAGGCTGCACAGTCGGGTTTTAAACTTGAGGCAAATGACACTGAGTGGGAATGGAAACGTAGTGTAGATACCTGTAAACATTTTGAGGCAATCTAGCATTTTAGTTAATGACTTTAAGTGGCAGGAGTTCATTGGATGGGTTGTTTTTCCCAGCTGTTAGTTCAAAAACAGTTGCCAAAACTGACTGCTTTGTGGGTTTTATTTTGTTCTGCCTTCTCCTTGGAGAAGGCATTTAGAAAGTAGACTGTAGACAGAGGATTTTATGTTCTTGTCTTGATAGAAAACTAGATATTGACAAACTAATGAGTCACTGATTGCATGGTTTGTAACCCATACATGAATTTGCATGCATATTGTTTGAGAGTTGTTTTTCTCAGGTGGGTATTACGTTCTTTCTGTTCACTTGTAAGATTCTTCTTAGGTTCCAAACGGGATGAGGTGAAGGCCTAGCAGCCCATCAGTGACACCTTTTGTTGCATGGGCAGATCTGTCATCGGCCAGCCTGGCCAAGGCTAAAGGACAGCCTGGTTCTGCAAGCTGGAGGGACCCCAAGTGTAATGCTGATAGTCTTGATGCTCTCTCTTAATTTTGGAAGCTTTTCTAGGCTGCTCTGTGAGTGACTGGAGAGCCTGCAGTGCAGCTTGCTGACGATCTGTCTGATCTTCCTGGTGAGGCTTGATGCACCTTTGATCATTGCAAGGCAGCTCTGTAGCTGCCTTCTGCAGTATCTGTGCCAAGGGGCTCCTGCTCATACTTCTACATCTTTTCATTTCTCCAAACATGCTGCAAGGTGTGGAGATGTTAACATGAAGGTGAGGGTCTAGGTCTGATTTGTGAATGTTACAATCTGCAGTTACAAAGGAGGAAAGGACGGATGTTCAGCTGAACTTACGTAACTTTATTTAACAGTTTTAAGAGCTAATTATTTAAGATTAATTCACTGATGCTGCATTTTAAAGATGTGCATAATTTGAGATTATCTTAGGTAGCTGTTGATTTAACTTGATACGATACATTCTTGTTGACAGGTGCTTGCCAAACAACCCCAGAGCTTTGAATCACTGTGAAACTTTATTTGTATATTGCCAAAGGATTCAAAATCTCCCACGATGAGCAGCTGATGTGGCTCTAATGAATATCCACCAGCATAATATAAAAATAAAGTCTCCGTCAGAGACATTTTTAGCCCAGCAAAATTTCATGTAATCCTTCAGTTTTGCCCCAAAGCAGAGTTTAAGGAGATTTCAGTGACTGCCTTGCACAAAAGAGCTTTCTTCATAGCAAGGGAACTATTTCTGTTTTGGAAAAGAAAGCATGCTCTGAATTGAAGGGCTTGACTGAATTTGATAGTCTGGGTTCTGTGGGATTAAATCACATCACAGGGTAGATCTGTGTAGTGAAGGTACCAGCTGCACAGAGTTGCAGGAGCTGCTGTAGGATGTTGTGTGGGCAGGAGTTGTCCCCACTTCCTTGGACAGCTGTCTTGGGGCTGGTCGTGTTGCTGTTGTCCTGCTGAGTTAGTAGTATGGCAGATTGCTGCATGTTGCTTACAGGCTTTGCACTGTGCAGGTACACAGTGTCCAGTGGTGCCAACAAACCATCCTCAGCCATCCTCACCGCCAAAAACATCACAGGTTTTATTAGGCCTTAGTTCTAGGCTTGTGCGATGGGAGGTTATAAGGTCCGTTCTCCAGGAAAGGCCGTTCTACAACAAATTTTAAGCCAGTGTCTTCAGTCCGTAGTCTGGTTTTCTAGCAGAATGTCCTGATTAGCACTGGGTAATCTGTATCTGAAAACACAGGCGTAAGGATTTACCGCTTCTGTGAGAATGATATTGTGCAGGTTTTCCACAGAAATTTTGATTTTTAGTAGGGAAGATTAAATGACAAAATAGTGTTATTCCTTAGAAGTTTAAGGGTGAAACAAAGATTGCAATAAGACTGAGCAATTATTCTTTGTATCTGCCTAAGACTTTTAAGAAGTATGTGGCAGGCTTTGAAGTTGCTTCTTCAAGCATCTTCAAGCAAGTGTTTGCTGAGAAGGGGTTTTCTAGTCTCAGCTGTCCCTAACACTGGGCAATGAGAGGCCACAGCAAGTGACTAAGCCCAATTTTCAGGCAGCACAGAAGGGGGTGTTCAACAAAACAACTGTTAAGCGTATGGGGTGAGGACTATGCCTAGAGATTCCCTGTTGGAGGGTGAAATGTGTTGTGTTCTGTAGCTGATAGGATTTTGGCTAGCAGTAGAGATGGGTTATGTGTGCTGCAGAACTTTCTCATTTCATAGACTCATAGAATGCTTAAGGTTGGAAGGGACCTCTAGACGTCATCTAGTCCAACCCCCCTGCACACGCAGGGTCACCTAGAGCACGTGGCACAGGACTGCGTCCAAGTGGGTTTTGAAGATCTCCAGAGAAGGAGACTCCACAACCTCTCTGGGCAGCCTGTTCCAGGGCTCTGTGACCCTCACTGTTAAAAAATTTTTCCTTAAGTTCATATGGAACTTTTGGTGCTTCAGTTTGTGGCCTCTTCTCCTGCCTCTTCACCCCACCTTGTATTTTATTACAGGCCAGTTTTGCAGGATTAGCTGCTTGACTGGATTTATTAATAGATTATTTTATATTTGCAAGAGGGATCAGTTATTAAAAAACTGATAGTTGTGTATGTGCTCTAGTGACGTAAAATCTGTATGCAATTGTATTTCAGAGGAAAGAGAAGGATCTTTCCTAAAAAAAACCTCTTGTGAAAGAGTTGGTGTCGGTTGCATCTTGGTTTGACTTACTGGTTGATCTATTTTGCCAGCTTTATGCTCAGAGTGCTCCAGAAACATCTTTGTTGAAACTCTGTGGATTTCAGGGCATTTAACTGGATACAGTAGAGGTAACTAGAGCAGAGGACATTCTAAAATAGATTCAAGCAGCAGCCTGTAACATCATATGCCACTGGGCAGATCACTGCGTAGACCTGTCTGACTTGCACTGTAGGAGCTGGTGGCCAAATCCTGTCTCTTCCTCTGGCAAAAATCCATATGGAAGGGATGAGGGTTTTGATTGAGTAAGCGCTTACACAGGTTGCAGCTAGTCAGTGCTTAGTATAAGTTGTATTGCAAAGAAAGGAGGGGTTGATATGGAGACAATCCATATCAAATAGTCCTCTCTCTTCTGGTTTGAAAGTTAGGTTTGGAGGGTGTCAGGCACTGGCATCAAGTGTCTGCAAGGTCACTGTTTGAGCTGGGAAACACAGAGGTAGCAGATATTGTTTGTCACAGGCTGTGGTGGGCAAAGGTGGTGAATAAAGTAGGAATTCTTCTGGAGCTCCAGTTAACCTGACAGAGCTGCTCCCCCTGCCTCAGCTTGCTGTGGCTGTTGGGTGGAGTCTCACTAGCTGACCTCACCAAACTCAAGGCTTTTAAAGGGAAAAGGCATCAGTCAAACTTTTTTTTTTTCACTCATTATTTCAGCCAGTTGTTGTTATTTTACTGACTAACTCATAGCAATTTGCATTATTATTATTAACTCTTATTAGATGATTTGGTGATTAAATGATTTCTCTAGTGTACTCTCGCTGCTAGGTTGGTCAGATGCACAAGAGTGGCAGTTGTGAGGAAGCTAAGCTATGTTTTATCTATCATAGTTCCTTTCTGTATAGAATGATATGAGTTGCTGAAACTTCTGATTCCAAACGAGTTTTGGACTACTGAACACGGCAGTCTCATCAATGCTGTCTGCAGTAACCTGTAAGGTTCCTTTTGGGGTGTCGGAGGTGGTTTCTTTCAACATCTGTTTTTTATTGTTGTGCCTGTTGGAAACAAAATGGTTTAGAGGAAACTGGCCCATCTTCTGTGGAAAGTTCTTCCACATTCTGTACAACTTCTGGTCTTTTCAGCATAAATTGGAAGGAGCTTTTTTGGGGGAAAGTAATTTTAACTGGAATGGCAAAACCACTAAAATGTATTGTGGGGAAAAATCTATATAATACTTCTTAAAATAATTCTAACTTTAATCATAAACAGGAAGATAGAGACCCACTAGGGGTTTATTTCCTGTCTAACTCTTGAAACTAGTCAAATCTTAAAGTGGTGTCTTTGTAAATAGATGATCTGTATTGATTATGAGGATCTCAAATAGCTTAACCTCTGTGAATCCTGTTTTACTGTGTAGATTTGTACATTCCTAATATGTAGAATGTGGTTGGTCTTGAATAAGATTTCCCCTGAGATCAGTGAGGTCAGAACTTCCACAGGTCACAGTTGTTACCTTTTACTATTCTAGACCTGCTAGGTGTTCATTACCCTTGTATCTCTTGCCTTGGGTGCTGTGATGTTCAGGGGTCTCTCTCTGAAGGGACTCGTACAGTCTTTGGGTATGAGCTCTGAAAGTCTGTGACACTTGGAATTTTGTAGCATCATTCTGGGATGTGCTGTAAGGCAAGTTCTCCTGTATGTTTTCTGATGAAGATTTTCCCTTTTCTGTAATAGAATGCCTAACGTAAGAATAAACAGAGGGGAGTACATCTCTTTCTTTCCCTCTCTTTTTTAAAAATATTTTTTCCCATGTATCTTAATTTTATTTATTTTCTCTTCTTTTTTTTAAAGATCCAAGTACAAATCCAGCCTATTCAGAAGAGAGATTGGCTCATGAAGCTTTGCAATTGGAGAAGCGCTTGAGCCTGCTGTCCCATACCAGTCGCCAGGGCAGTGGAGGTAAGAAATATCTTTAAAGAATGAGACAAATGGTGTTCCACTCTTTCAAATTCCTGGGCTTTAGATATTTATGAAAGTGTGTGTGCGTACTTATATATGTGTGCATGTATATATATTTTTTTGAATGTGCGTGCACACACACATAATTGTAAGATGTTGAGCCTAAAATTTTCAGGATATTTGATGTGGCTGTAACTTGTGGAGCAGTTTTTAACAGTGCTGTATAAGGGCTGTTGATGTAGATTGGAGGTTTTTAGTTGAGCAGAGTGAGCTTTGAGTCAAACATTGTTAATACAGAAAAATCCTTGTTGAGGGATTGTTGAATGCTGTATGTGCAACATCAAAAGAATTATGCCCATCAAGTTGGATACCTGATTAGGTAATTTATCTCACAGGTTGGAGTGAATCAACTGACTTTCTAGTTTGAACAGCAGATTTATGAAGTCTGCTTCATAAGCATGAGGAGACTTTTGAAATAAAACCCAGCACCCCTGTACTTTGATTCTGTTTGTTGTTATTCTTCAAGGTTCTATCTGTACGTGTCCCTTCTGGAATTGTTTACGTATGAAAGTAAGATTGGTGCCTAGCTCTAATTTGTAAAAGGATCTGGACTGCCATTTTAATCATTTAAGAACAATTCTAGTTCCCTAGAACCTTTGCTTTACTTTCAAATTTAAAGTCTACAACCCTAAAAAAAGACAAGTAAATATCCTCAGAAGTCTAGTATGTACTAGTATGTACTTCTTTACATGTCCATGCCTACTTTAGTCCTGACACTGCAGGGTAGTGTGGCTTGTGATGAAATTCCACTGAGACTTGCTGAGGTTTAACTCTTGTGTAGTTTTAATATAGCTACTGGTTTGATGCAAAACAAATAAGACCCGATAGAGACATGAATATCTCTTATCCAGGGGCTTAGTGGTCAGAGAACATGTGGTCCAGGTTCACATGCATCCTCTGCTTGAGATAACTTCTGTTTACCTCCCTATTATTCTAAGAATGTCTTAAACCCTCGGGAAATGAGGAGCTCTTGAGTGGGGTTTTCATAATCCATTATTTGAGGTTTTTCACAGGAAATGTTTTTGGGAAACACTATAATAGAAAAAGCATTGCTGTTAGCATCACTCTCTGTTCCACAATCTGTAGGTTTGCCAGGAGCGCATTTGCATGGATCTGGAGATTTAGGGTCTGCCACTGCATTGGGGAATGGTTAGAGCTCTGCCTACTTAGAGCATAATCTATAGGACAGTGAGAGGGTTTCTCTTCCAAAGCCCTCATACCTAAAACAATCGATTAGGAGAAGTGATTTCAAGTACTTTTTTTTTTTTTTATGATTAGGAGAAGTGATTTCAAATACATTTTTTTTTTCAATGAATAATATACAGTTTTTATAAGCAGAGTAACTTTTATTTCTCAGATATATTCCTTTAGATGCTGAATGTATTGCTGAGAAATAAACTAACGCTTTTGTATCTCATGCCTTCTGCCTGGAAGGCTGTATGATACTCACATCAGAGCCACAACCCAGTGTCACGTAAGGGGCATGGCAAGGAGCGGAACGGTTGGATTTCACAGGATGAGGGTTGCTGTTCTGTGGTTCTGTATATCTAGAATTACTCCACAGAGAGCAGGCGAATTGTGTTAAATATTTGCCACAGTAACTAAAAATAGAAATGGTTTTGTAATACCAGAAGCTCAGGTTGTGCAAATAAATGTGATTTGCAGTAGATCTTTTCTGCCCCATCTGGCAATTTATTGATAGTGTTTAAAAATAATATCTACAAAATGACCTGCTGTCAGCTTGTGTTTTCACACTGATTTTATTAGGGAGGAAAATAATTTTGCATATTGTATATGCTATTACAGGAGAATATATTTTTTTCTGATGAAAGTGCCCTCATGCCCTTTGATGCCAATGATTTTTTTTTCTTAAAGTGGATACCTTGCATACCTGTAGTTAGTTGCCTTAAAAATGTCCCTCTTGCAAGTATCGGTGAGAAGGAAAAACTTCTTGTAGTATGGGCATAAATAGATCTTGGGAGATGTTTTTCCATATGGATATGGAAATGGTGTTATTTAATAATACATTTCTGTTCCAGTGATGTGTGGTTGTGTTTTTGTTATGGATATTATAGGGATGTTACAGTGTAGTGTACGTTATAGAACAGGGCAATCTGAAAAAAAGTAAAACAAGACTGGTTCAAGCAGAAAATACTGAAATCTCTTGCAAATCTTTGGCGTATAGGTAATGGAAACTTTTCTTCAGAATATCCTTAGATATTCTGAGAACAGATGCAACTTTGTGACTCTTCCCTGTGGTATAAGGCAGGAGTATCAACATTAAAGCCAGCTAACTGTACAGAAGTAGATATGCTTGAACAGGGGAGAATTGGCTGCGTAAACTCTAAAGATTTAGCCCTGAATGCAGCATGTTCCACAATGCGATAGGGTTAGTATAGTGGTATACCATTTACATTACATTTTTCCCTTGGGGATAGTTCCTGCAATAATTCCTATTGACAGAAGTTCCTTTCACAAAGCAGATGAAGCTTCCTGATCCTTTCTGTTCATACATTCCTGCCATTCCAGCAGTCTACCCACTGTTTTAAACATAGCTTGATCTGTTCCTTTTTATTTTATTTTTTTCTCTAGGAGATGATAGAAGTATTTCAAGCTCATCCTCAGATACCAGCCACTCGGATGTTAGTGTTGGGAGCAGGCTGACAATTTGGCCTGAACAGTCTTCAGCCAGCACTTCTCAAGAGAGTCACGGACTGGCAGCTGCCAAGGGCATCCATCTGGGGGAAGAAAAGACCCACCCCGAAGGGGCACGTGGCCTCACTAAACCGCCTCCAAAGCCTCTCCGGTCCAGACAGCTGCAGGAAATTGGACGTCAGAGTTCTTCAGACAGTGGAATAGCTACTGGTAGTCACTCTTCTTACTCTGGAAGTTTCTCTTCCTATGCTGGGAGCTTGGACATTTGCCACGGTGAGGAGTTTGGGTCATTGCTAAGCTTGCCGTTGAACTTTCCTTCAGATCAGAATTTATGTACTTGTCCTCACAGTGAGCCCCAGAGAGGAGCGGGCTCAGAGTATCAGGTTCCCAGCTCTCTCAGACATATTTATGATATCCCCAGGAGTTTGTTACAGGCAGCTGCCAAAGATGTGCAGCCGAAGAGTGCTGATTCCACGCAACCCAAGGACCAGCCCCTGGCACCTCAAGGCATTAGTGACCCAAAACTGCTTATACCACTCGCAGAAGCACGAAGGGCACCTGAGCACAGCCGGGAGAGACGGAGACCTCCATCCTTGCTCTCCCAAAGCTCCAAGGACTCCAGTGATGAGACATATGTGGATTTTGTTACGAGGTGGTCAGACACAAAGCCCCAAGGACAGGTGTCCGACTCGAAAAGTAGTGGGTTGGCACCACCTAGTGGAGTCTCAGCTGACCCCTATGACATATGTAGCCCCCACCCTGGGATGACAAGAGCTCTTTTTTCAGCTTGTCCAATCTGTGGTGGATTAAAGGTAAATACCTAACAGTGGGCAGATGCTAACAAAGCCTTCCTTAATTTAACACTGTTAATTTAAAAAATCACTTAAAGCTACAAGTCACAAATGTTATTATTTAAAGTTTTCAAACTTAATAACTTTTGTGGTGGTTTTGAGAGGTTTCATATATGGTTATCTCAAAATTTGTGCTTGATCAAGGAAATGCTGAACAATACAAGTCATCAGTCGTTACTTTTAAATTGGCCAGTTTTTATTTTGGGTATATGTAAGTGACTCGTAGGAACAGTGATAGAAGCAGTGGCACATAAGAGGCGTATAGGATTTGTCCTATAGCTATAATCTAGCACAAAGGACTTTCCTCTCTCTTGCTGCTGGTGTTTCAGGAGGAAACAAAGGCAGGTCAAATAGTATGTGCTGCTGTATGGGGGTGCCCACTGCGTATTTTTCTTTCCTTGATGTTTCCTTTCCCTCACCGTGTTGGTGGGTATGTCTCATGCAAGAGGCAGCCAGATCTGTGAAGCTTCTCGCTGGGGAAGTCTAATTAGCATAGCCATCCATAACAGGTCACCTAGTCTGGTGTCATATTCGTGTTTGCTGACCAGAGCTAGATACTTTAGAGGAGATGGACAGAAACTCATCAGTGGTCCACTAGCAGGAGTACCTCTTCCCGGGGGAAGTTATTTTTGGATCACCAGTTACAGAAAGGCTTAAATGCTGAAGCATGGAGATGCATATGCCTTTTCTAAACACATTTGTTCTTAGTTTCTGTTATTATGGCTTGGATATTCCTATAAAGTCTTTGTGAGTGCTGCTAAATTCTTGGCTTTTTATGGCAGTAAGTTTTATAAATTAATTGTGTGCTGTGTGGAGAAAGTATTTCTGTTTCCATCTCTTCTGGAGAAGACTTTTTTTGTTACTGTTTTTCCTAAAGTGGAACAAGATAGAGCTGTTTGTGCTGATAGGGTCTTGGAAGGCTGGGAGGATTAGAGAGCATGTTCAATTAAGGAACATCTGAAGTAGGGATTCAGCAGAGAGGTTTGAGGAGTTAAGTACTGCCACTGAAGTGTGTATATTTTAAATGAGCATGTGGGATCTCATAAATCAGTTCTGTGAAAAGGGCTTGAGTGTACAGTACATTAGAGAGAAACTAAAAGAATATAAGCTTGGGGGCAGTTTGTTCTGAAGCTTTTCATGTGTTTGTGTCAATAACTGTCCTGACGTGCCTGGAAAGGAGGTGATGCTCTGTCTGAGGCACCTCCGTGGCCTCGGTCGCAGAAGTGTGTTAGCACCTTGGCCGTTGCTGTGTCACACACTTACCCTGCAGCGTTTGGGGGTGCTGATGGTTGTGTCTATGCTGATGATTTGAGTCAAGTGTTTTCAAGGCCATCCTTGCCAACCATCACAGGCAATCCTTAACCTTCCAGCCTGCTTCAGAAAGCTCTGGTGGACCCAAGGGCCTGTGATGTAGCCTCCTGGTTGTGTCCTTTCTGTGCTTCCTGTGTCTGTGGCCTGTGGTTAGTCCTTCAGCAGGCAAGGAGGAACAGGACTGTCTCCTAGAATGTCTCTTAACCCAAGACCTGGAAGCGCCCAGACCAATGTGTCACGAGCAGCAGGGAAAGAATTAGTTGTGGTGAGGAGAGCTCACACGGTCCGAGTGTTTGTGGGTGATCTGACCCGTCAGCTTAGACATAATTTCACCAGTTTACTGAAGTTTACCCCATGGGACAGCAGACAGGCACTTGAAGTGGGCGTCCTACATCTTCCACACCATTAGGGCACCTGAGCCACCTGGTTGTTCCCCCAGCATCCCAAGTGTCATTTTTATAAGTGCCATCAGGTTTCAGAGTGATTCTGGGTGTCCTAGTAATACCAGTTGGCAAGAATCTCAGGAGTAATCAGGATTTTCTTAGCGACAGACCAACAGTGATGCAGCACGCTTTGTTTTGCATGTGATATGTTGTTGCTTATTTCTATTATTTCTATTCTGTTGCTTATTTCTATAATTTCTATTAATGAGAAATTATTATTTCTCATTCTCTGAAAAAAAATATGTTTGAGAACCAATTAGAGGCAGATTAGAGCTACAATTACATTTCACATTTATTCAAATTAATACTCAGAAGCCTTTGTGCTGATGTTTGGAGTATCTGTGTGTTTTCAAGTTAAGCCATTGATTAATTTTTCCTTAAAATTATGTTTTTATTTATTTTTTTAAAAGCCTACTATTTATAGTGAATGTGCGACCTGGGTAAAGCAAAGTCAACAGCAGTAATTAAGCACCTAAGTATCTCCTTGCTTTCTGCTCTGTACGTTAGCTTTGGAAAATGCAGGTGAGACCTGGCAGGGTGTAGGAGCTCGGCTGTGGAGCGCTGGGATAGGCTGCGTATGGGGAATGCCAGGATGGGCTGTGCCCGCGGCGAGGATGGCAGGGAACAAAATGCAGGGAGAACGTGCCCTGATCCCAGTGCCAAGGTTCAGGCAGAACGCGGGGCAAGGGATTTGTGCTTTGCTCCGGATGAAGCATAGAAATAGCATGATGAAGAGCACTGAATGTTGCTTCTGTTACTTTTGTGTCATTTTTTTGTCCTGGGCCTTGGGAATTGCCCACGGGAAGGCGTGCGGGGTGGTATTCATCTGTTCCTGCCGTGTGCTGACGGTGTCCTTCGTTACCCCTCAGCAAGGTGGGCCTGTGCCCTTAAGTTTTGCCTAGGTGATTTCAGCGCTATAGATAAGTGCAGAGGAGAGTTCTTTGTTTAGGATAGGGATATTTTAAGCACAGAATATTGGATTGCTGTGGGGTTTTCAAGTAAGCTGCAGAGATTTATTATTTTCATTATTTTTTAACTATTTTTTTCAGTTTTTAAATGCCTAGCTGATAATAGTTTAAAAATTAGCATTTCACTGTACATACGTTGCTCTGTAACTGTTTGATGCTATAGCTTGAGAAACATTGTCAACCTTTTTTACAGGGTGTCTTTTTTTTTTTTTTTTTAAACTGCATCATTGTTTGTAAATTTTTATTAGAAGCCTGAAAATAAAATTCTTTTCCAACTGTTTTTGTCCTTTTCCATCTGCCAAGTACTGTTCTTATTTTTGTTTTGCTTTCTCTCCCCTGGCCCTCCTCTCCGTCCCTGCGTTTTGAATGAATGTGCAGCGATTACGGCTGTTTCTTCCCCAGCTTCGTGGTGCGCTCGCAGCAGCATTGGCAACCTGAAATGTGCCTATTAGGAGGAATTCTAAGTTTCTGGCTTAACATAAACCCATGTTTATGTTGGTGGGAGTTCTTACCTGTGTAGAAATATAGCTTGAATACAGTTTTGGTAGTAAACTTGCTGTGATAGAGGAGGAGAAATGAAAGCACCCGCCTGTTGTATGTGTCTGCTCTCATCAATTGGGTATTGATGTTTAGCCACCCATTTTTGCTGATCATCTAAAAATGCCACAATGCTGGGAGACCTGGTACCTGCCTCGGGGGAAGCGCATCCCCGGCTAAGTGGGGAGTTGCACCAGTTGACTGATAGGACACTTCTCTCTGTCTGTTCCGTAGAAACTGCTTCCTTTTGCATTCAAGGATAAAGTAGCTCAGAGAGGAGGACATGTATGTGTGTGCTGTGACCCCCGAGCAGCACTGCACCCAGTATATTCAGTCGTGCAGCACCAGGTCCCTGCGGGGCTGGTTAATCAAACGCAGCCTCTTGTGGGTGCAGAGATGCTGCTCTGGCTGTCTGGGTTGTGCGTCGCACACCAGGAAGAGCCTGGAGAGGAACATGGGATGCAGAGGAGGGCTGGCGCTCCAAGGAACCACTTGTGTGTGGCCTCTTTGGGGGTCTTGCCTGGAGCGATGTAACCAAGGTTAGGAGAAACCTGTAACAGGGCTAGAAAAGTGCAGGATTCAGGGGACTGAGGTGGTGAGACCTTAGGCTTCAGCTGGGAAGTCTCCTTTTAGTGTAAATGCTGCTTTTAAAAGTGGTAATTGAGAAGGGCTGTAAGTGGTAAAGCTGTGCGGTGAGGCCTGAAAAATAGTGGCTGCAGGTTACATTGTCACCTCTATGCAGTTGTCCTCAGTGTTTTTTGTTTTAAGTGAGTACTTTTTCTAACCTAATGTTAAAATAGGTACTAGGGAAGCCATGATACATTACTATACTCCCCAGAGTTACTTCCATCCCCTTGCTTAAGTGCTTTAAGGCCTATTTATGTACTGTTAAATGGTACTTGAAGCGGGGGAAGGATTGTATGTGTATATATGTATTTCCCTTGGTTTCTTGTTGTTATTGTCAGGATGCACAGACACATGTATTCTGCCCTTAAAGCATCCTGGAGAGGCATATTGGGTCAAATTCGGTTTTATTAACTCTTTTCATCTAGTGATGATTTTTTCATTATCTTTTTTTCCTTTAAGATCCAAAGCCATTTTGCCTGAACAGCCCTTAGGCAAAACTGCAAGCCTTGCTCCACAGAAGGGTGTTCAAGGGCAGGAACCTCTGGAGCAGCTCGGTTTGTGTGAGGCTCTTGCAGCAAAGAGCTTCAGCTCGTTGGTTGGTCCCGTCCTCAATAAGTGGATGCTCAGTGTTGAGGTTCCTTGCTGCAGGGCTGCCTTGGCTCTAAGTGTAGGAACACTGGGCCAAATTCAAGGTGACACAAGGAAACCTTGACGCTAATTGTGCAGCTAACTGAATCTCCTTCTAGTGCAAAAAAATGCTGCCAAGTTCATTTTTACCAGACACACATAACCACTTTTGTTCCGCTCCTATGTAAGGATGGGGAGGGAAGGACTTGTCTGTGTTTTGGCCACCCTCGTTAGTGTAAGAACATTTTGACCATTACATGGTCACTGGAACAACTCTAGCTTGCTTCAGGCATTCATTTAATTCATGGGTGTAGGACTGAAATATGGGGAAAAATGTAATGCGGAGCTACTGTGGCTCCCCTGCCCCCCTGTTTCAGCTCCAGGGGAGTTTGATCCATCAATCTGTAACAAAATGTTTTTATTTTATTTTTTTTTAAGGTGGAGAGGT